ATCATTACTATTAGTCCTCTAATGAAACATCATTACTATTAGTCCTCCAATCAAACATCATTACTATTAGTCCTCTAATCAAACATCAATACTATTAGTCCTCTAATCAAACATCATTAATATTACTCCTCTTATCAAACATCAATACTATTACTCCTCTTATCAAACATCAATACTATTAGTCCTCTAATCAAACGTCATTACTATTAGTCCTCCAATCAAACATCAGTACTATTAGTCCTCCAATCAAACATCAGTACTATTAGTCCCCTAATCAAACATCATTACTATTAGTCCTCCAATCAAACATCAGTACTATTAGTCCTCTAATCAAACATCAGTACTATTAGTCCTCCAATCAAACATCAGTACTATTAGTCCTCTAATCAAACATCAGTACTATTACTGTTTTAACCTACAAGATAATATTCATTTGTCTAAAAGTAAAACACATTATCATTATTGAACTCTTGTATATATAAGACGTTCACGACGTAATTGAACTGCAGTCAGAGAGAATATTGTTGAGCACGTGAGAAGTTCGTTGAGAATTATAGCGTTTGTTAAAGAGCGACTGTTGAAATTAAGTGTATCGTAAAGTTGTATTCGGAAAGAATAAACCAGTTTTATTTAAGAAAGGACTTGTGTCACTAAAGTTTCGTCGGAACGAATTTGCGGAAAATTAACTAACGAACGTAGACGCAACAATATGTTTGAATATTGAATAGATGTTTAACATTCCATTGCCAAACCTTTTGTTAAGAAAGATGTTTTATCTTCTGAAAGTACTTGTGTTTTAACTCGAAGTTTATTTAATTGTTTATCAAAATGATTGTCTTTTCTAGTTCTTATTGTATTTGACAATTTAGTACAAAAATAATAATAACAATGTTTGCTAATAATGATTTATGTTTCTACTACGCTTATAGTGGGTCATAATATAACATTTTGCAATAAGATTGGGCTCTGAGATGTTATTGCGCCACTAGTGGCGACCTTACGTATTACAGAAAACAGTGGATCAACTTTCTTTGCAAAATGGACGATACACAACAAGGTAAAAGTGAAATTATTTATGTCATACCAGGTTTAAAATCTTTTTCGAAACAAAAAAATAGTTGCTACAACTTGGGTAATAAATATGTATAGGAAAGTCAAGAAATTGTCTGTAGAAATGCGTGTGTGCTAAAAGTAAAATATAAAAATAAACTAAAATAAAGTTTAACGTTACTTTACATATTACTATTATTAGTAATAGTACATAATATTAATAACAATAAGTTACTGAATAACATTCTGTGTTGTCTTACTGTGAGCGCTCTAAGTCTAACACTAATAGTAATATTTTGTGTTACTGGTAGTAGGCTAGACCATCTTACCATATGTGAACGAGCGATGTAACAGAACATGTGGACAAAAAAAAATTAAAGTTAAAGGTTGTCCTTGCACATCGATGATACACCCTTGAGTAAAGTAAAAATTTTAATCAATCCTCCGTTTTCCAATTTCAGGACATCATTGATTCTTAAATTTCTGAAACTTGAGTAAAGTGCTGGCCTAAGTGCTGTGATGGCAATTCATTCATTAGAAAAATAAAACTTATTTGGTGCCTGGCATGACTTTTTCAAATCGTAAACTTGTGCTCTCTCATCCCAAGGATTTAAATATGATACCTCACTCTCAGTATCAATATCCATTATTAGTCTAGGAACCTCATTAAGTTATTGTGTCAATACATTAGTTGATATGCAAGACTCAATTAGAATATATACCAATAAAGTCCATGAATTTATCCACATGTACATATGCTAGTTTTCTATAATAATCTACAATGATTATGTATCGGAATTTTTGACTACCAACTGCAAAATCAGTGATGAGGAAAGAAATGAGTTTACAAAAGTGAATGCAGAATTAGCAGTAGAGTTTGACATCACTTTAAAGTCTAATGTGAATTAAACATTGTATATGCTTGCTGATGTATTGTTATAGCTTAATCATACAGAAGGGTGAGCTGAGACATTTTGAAGTTCATGAGTTGACTACTTTGCATTAAATAAGTGATCATTATTTGCTAGTGATAAAGAATGAGGATTTAGATGTTATTTTTATTGATAAGAGCTTGATAACTTCAGTTGAGTTTTGGGTAATGATGAAAAGAGTTAGCTAACAGAGTTTTGTGATTTACTTATATAAGTCTTGAGCTTAAAAGTAAAAAGTTAATGTTTTTGTATATAATATTGTTTCCAGTTTTTGTCATATTAATGGAGAATATTGATATGGTGTAGAGGGGAAGAAGATAGCTACTAGAATGATACATAGATTTAAAACTTGAAACATCGAAAGAGGATTTAAAGATTTGGGCATGGGTGAGAAGATTGTTAATTGTAAAATTTGGAAATGATTATTTCATGATGTAGTTTGTTTTGCTAATCATGGTTTTTACTTTAGATTGGAAGGTATATAGATAAAAAACATACTTTTAATTTATAGTAGTTAGTCATAGAATGAAAGTATCCTTGATGGGCTGATTGACCCAGACAACACATTAACACAAAATTGTACATATAGCATTCACAAAATTCTGCATCTAAACAAAAAACATGTCTGAATTGGACATAATAATAGAGGTTCTTACACTTCACAGTTACAATTACTATCAGTTGTAGTCCTTTGCTTTTTCTGTCAGTTTTCCTTGTACAAATCTGTCCAGACAGTCAGCTGAGTATTGGTGAGACTAGCCAGAACTCTGAACAAGCTGTCTGTTTAAACAGTCAGCTGAGTATTGGTGAGACCACACATAGACTAGCTGGAACTTGAACAAGCTGTCTGTTTAAACAGTCAGCTGAGTATTGGTGAGACCACACATAGACTAGCTGGAACTTGAACAAGCTATCTGTTTAGACAGTCAGATGAGTATTGGTGAGACCACCCAAAGACTAGTCAGAATTGTGAACAAGCTGTCTCTTTAGACTATGAAACTGTGTATCAATGAGCAGTGTTGTAGGTCTCTATATCACCTTTTGAAAGGTCTCGGTCTCGACCCTCTTGATCTCAGTTTCGATGTTTTACAGGTTTTGAAAATGAGACTGGCTAAATTTAAGTTTTAACAGTATTAGACCAATCACCTACCCACGATTAATAAGTGCTAAATATCAATTATGCAGCAGTTCATATGAGGTGTGGTGTGGCATCAAAGATGTTTTACTAGTAAAACCTCCTTGGTAGTTGGTACTACACCTTTGTAATGATGTTTGTAACACCTCCCTTACTTTTATGTCATCAACCACCATATTGCCTGTACCCTAACCCGTGGATGTAACACGAGCTATTCAAAACTAACTGCTACTATACATTGCATTGTGTGTAGGCTTACTACAAATTTGTATGAACTTCACTTGATGCAAGTATTTATGTCAAACGTTAGCAATTATCCCAGATGTTCAACATGTCTAGTAGATCTGCTGTGATCCTATTGAAGAATTTACTGACTTTAGTTTTATTTGCTACATTTTTTATTCATTCATTATCTTTTTTTTTCTCTTTTTAATTAATTTTTTTTTATGAGGAGACATAAGACTGTGGGGTTAACGTTTAAAGGATTTGTGGTTAAGATCTTAATAATGTTTGTTTGACGCATATGATTTTTATTATTTGTGCTTTATTTTTCAGTGTAATTTATTGGACATTGAGGTCTCGACTACAACAATGTTTGATGAGAATAGTCATAAACTAGCCAGAACTCTGATTAGACTGTCTGTCTAGACAGTCAGCTGAGTATTGGTGAGAAGAGCCATGAACTAGCTAAAACTGTGAGCAGGCTACCTGAGTCAGAGTGACTGGGCAGCCTGTATACACAATTTTTATTGTCTTAATTGTCACCACTAATCAGAAGACACATCAATGCAATATTGATTATCTGTGTGTTTATGGTACACATTTTTAAAACCCTAACACAACCTCTGTCCACCCTTTGCTCAGCGTTGAATATTCCACTTGAAAAATGCTTTAGAAACTTGTTTTACAAAAATAGAATAGCTTTGAAAAATAATATTTGACTTAAATTTTCAGATATCTGTAGAGTGTGCAGGTCAGAAGGCTCACTAGAAAAACCTTTGTTTCACCCGTGCATTTGTACAGGAAGCATAAAATATATTCATCAAGAATGGTAAGGGTAATACTTTTATATGTGATATATATATATAGATTTTAGATGGGTTATAGTTTTTGTTATACAATTCATATTTCTGTGATATGAACTTTATTATTTTCTGTACACAAAAAATTAAGAGATATTTAAGTTCTATTGTTGGATGTTTGTATTTCTGTGGAGTTTGTTAAAGTAAGCTTAATCAAAAATCTGATAGCAAAACTGTTACTTTTCTATATGAAAATGCACACTTTATTACTTGAATTTTGGGACAGCACAACTTGAAGAGGGGTTTGTTGTGCATAACAACTAAGGTCCTGTTTTAACATTAACAGTGTTGAGAATTGTTTACTGAAACTTAATGCATTAGTTCATGTCTAGTGGAATAGACTGCCATTCTTCTTGCAAAGCATCTGTAACTATAGTGAGATTCTGGATTCTAGACCTTTTAAAGTGTCCTAAGGCAAATTAGTGAGATTCTGGTTACAATTCAGGCTGTGACAAGACAGTTTATATTACATTCTCAGAGGCTGTAGAGAAACTGTGAAGTGAAAATATATGATTCTACATCCACTGAGCACATGATGAAAACAAACTTTATTTTAATTACAACCTCTGGTCCTCCGGCAGGTTTCAACATTCTGCTACACTGTTATTAACCTTATTGCACCATGAGAAAGGACCTACTACTGATTGGGCTGTGCTATCTCAGTATTTTGGTAATTTCAGTGTTACGTGTATGTTTATATCCACCTCTTAGAAAGGAAGGTCTGTCTTTTGAAACACTGAGGCTACTTGTAATGTTTTTTAAACACATGTGATTTCTTAGTGTTGTGAATATACATATGATAAATATTTCTCTATAATTTAATAGTGTAGACTTATAACATAGAAAGCAATGCTTGTTTCAGTGTAACTCTTCCATGTTTTCAAAATAAACACTTAATTATTTTTTTTTGACATAAGTTATTTTTATTATCAAATGTAAATTTTAACTGAATGAATTGGGGCAATTAGGTTTTAAAATTAGCCGAAGTATTTTCAACTAAAAGTGTTCCTGCATATTAGGACAGGAAAGTTTAATTATTGACCATTCGGGACTAAACTGTTTACTTTGGCCACAAAAACAATATACAGTTCTTTTTTTTATTGTGTTACACTGATCATTCATCCTAATTAGTGCATTTTGTGATTTTCTATTTTAGCTTAGTTCAGTGGCTGAAGTACAGCAGGAAGGAATTTTGTGAGTTGTGTAACCACAGATTTTCTTTCATGCCAAGTAAGTACTGATAAATGCTCTATTGTTTTTGGTGTTAAATGTAAAGCCATCATTTTTAAATCAATGCACGTTTTGAGAAATTAAGTAAACACATATCTAGTAAATGCTAGGG